TGAAAACACAAAGAGCGAATGGAGAAAGGAAACGAACTATGCAATTTGAACTGAACATTATTCATCATTTGGATCAATCACAATGAACACAATACATTATTCTATACTTCATCTGATTATTCGCGCCAACTTCAATTAAAAAAAACGTTTATATCGAAAATAAAATTATATATATAAATGATAGAGACAGGCCAGGCGGCCTGGTGTTTTTAAGCCGCCTGCCTGTGACAGGCCAGGCCTCAAGATCATGGCCTGTGCCTGTCACAGGCAGGCAGGCAGGCAGGCCTAGTGGCCTGGTTGATGCTCTGGTATGTAGTATGAAATAATGCAGAGACCACTTACTTAACAATGTGGTTGAATTATTGTTTGCAAGCAGATCATCACGATTATCTGAAATAGCAATATATTAGTTCAGCATATATATACTTATGTAACTCTACCGAAAAATAATTGTGTAGCAACAATTGGTACCACAAAAAGTGCGACAGCGCAAACAAAGATGATTACGATCACTAGAATCTTGATTTGAATACGTTGATCACGCATCCACGGACAGCAGCATAAATTGGCATGTGTTCGTGTCGTGATGTTTCGATCATTGAGTAACTGTTATAATTACTTTAGAAAAGAAAGATGGACGAAAAGAACATACCGAAATATTTGCTGATGTTGAAATAGAGGCAACAACAACTGATGGTTGAACAGGAAGTGTGTATCTAATGAGAGATTATTCATTTGAAACAAGCTCAGTCATATAACAACAGCTAACTTACAGTGGAACAGTTCGCCGGCCGTTTCGAAAGAAATCAATCAAATGATTATATCCCATAACCAATAATGGACAAATAATACGAAGAAAAACAGTTAGTCCCCCTATGAGACCAATGATTGTTGTCAGCACATAGAGAATGTCAGGCCGTGTACTATATATATAAGTGCACATAGAAACTCCACAAGCTCGGAAGAATGCCTCATAATCATATTCACGAAGCCAGTTTTCAACGAACAGTTCATCAAAGATCGAACCTATTGAAGCATTAGGTAGGAAATGGCTTGACATCATGAGACTAGTTGGCAATGATTTCATTTTCTTATGGTCAAATAATGCATAATGCAGGGTATCGAGACATGCTTGATTGTAGAAGCATTCAAGAGTCGACTGAAGCAATACTGGCAAAGGTAAGCATCCAATAAGTAAGCCAGGAAAAGATATGTTAGTGATGCTCATCGGTAACGAACATTTGTCTGAACTGGCACATGAACAGTTACCATACCAAACAGGTCTGGTTCGAATGAATCGAGCGTTGGCCGAAGGATTCACTATGAATTGCCAGTTGCTCATGTAACTTGACATAATTGCATTCCCATGTATTATCGCTTCCAGATAGTCAATTGCTTGCCGAAAAGAAAGAGATATATCGAGAAACAGTAGACTGACAGTCTTATTGATCTGTGCTTGAAACTGATCATTCGTCAAGATCTGTGAAGCAATGAATTGTGTGCCAACAAAGAGCGCTAGCGACGTATTCATTGCATCATTGGCCATTGTACAAAAGCTGGAGAGAATAGAGAGTTGACCAGCGAGAAACTGTCCTTTAAACCTTATTGAATCAGGATCAACAACCAAACTATCGCCCATTAATGTTTTTAGATAATCAAGTGATAGAAACTGGCTTGAACATATTGGATGGTACTTGAGAACCTTGAACAGAAAATCTTCAAAGTGCGTAACCCTTCATGAGACTCGAATATGAAACTGTTATAAAATGAGAATGTGGGTATGAGTGTCGGTGTGGGGATGCTTTAACAGTTTTAACCCACATCCACACCCTCATTGAAACTCAATCGCAATCATTATGAATAAAATACTACGAAGATAAAAGCAAAACCTTCTTCCATGGTTTTCTCCTTTGATACACCATGATTGATTCCTAAGCAACTGTGAGCTAAAGACAAAAAATGAATGTTCAGAAAAATTACTTCAGGTGACACCGTGTTAAAGGTCTGATGACACTAGTCAGTTGAAAAATGGACAACACAGCTATATTTTATTTCATTTTCCAAATATTAACTTTTTTCAACCTTTGGCTCAGAGTGAGTACGGTTGAATTACAGCGTATTGTATCAATACCCATTAGGCTTTGACTAGTGTCACACAATCCTGGCTATGGATCATGTATTATTTTAACGATCTTTCGCCAATCGCAAAACTTCACATATGAACCGTAGTACTCAAAAGTAACACATTGGCTACTGCGCCTAGTTTTGACTCTATTCTGAGAGCAGAGTTGAACGATAATAGTATTGTACCAGAAAAAGTCTTGTAGCGTACACGTTTGATTTTTTTTACATTCTTTCATTTGAGACTACACAACTAGCTAGCTCCTTGTCGTTCGTAGGCGTTAGATTCTCACTGAAAAAATACTCGAACGTACTACACAGCTTACCTGCCTCCTTTTAGAACGCACTCATAAAAGATAGAAATTCTAGATACAAAAAACAATTTTGTGTTGATCTTCGCCGTAGATACTCTATGTTTAAAGCCTTATTCCGCTAAGAAAAGACTTGTATGATTTATCTGTTATCATAGTGCCATGTTTTCCCAATATTTTAGTCTACATTTGTTGAACATATACTGTCAATTGGCTAGACGAATTGACAAGCAAATAATTTGGTGTCAATGGTCGCTCGTTTCGTACCGAAGCAATCGACAAAGAAATCTGATTCAATCAAGAAAAGTCAGGAACAAATAATATTCTTCATAAATTTTAGAAAAGATCTGAACTATCGAAGAAATATTCAGCCCAAATTAATTACACTGATCAGAAAACAATTTGAGACTGAATCTGAGCGGTTGTAGCTCCATTATTATACACAGAGAATCGAACTGTGAGAAAAGCGTTTCAAGCGATAGAAAAATTAGGTCTAGATCTTTCTTTCTAAAATGGGATTTCTATTGCTTATCGACCAATTAATCAGATTTCCAAGAAAATCCGACTAATATGTCAGTTCATCGTCTTGAATTACTCCTAAACTATTTTCCTGAAAACTAAATTTCTATTGTTTTCTGATGAGCTAATCGATTTCCCTGATCGACAAATGCTGTCTCAATTTTTAATCGAACAGAGTGCAAAAAATCAACTAGTTGTATACTAAAGTAAGAATTGGTGACTATATATTGCAGTTTATATTGGACACTCTCTCTCTCTATTTTTTGTTAGCAATAAAATAACACCGAAGGTAACATGAAAATCTCTACTATTCGCAAAGTGAAGCTTATTTTTTCGTTATGTATTTTTTGTTTAAAAAACAGGTGAAATTTTGTGAAACCATTTATTATGGAAAACCTCGTCATTTTAAAGTGAAAAGTTAATTCAATATCAGAAACTATATTCTACTATGAATAAAAAAAAATAATAGAGTACTTATTATTACTTGGAGACAATAAAATAATTTAAAAAAAGAGCATGGTAATGTTAAATACTTCATCATTTTTTTAGTTATAGCAATATATTTTCTAGTATTGAAGCAATTGTTCACTTTAACAAAGTAAGTTAAGATGTCAAAACCTTATATGAAAAAGTTCAAGTAATATTAATTTAGACAACTTTATTAGCCCATTATATTAATAAAAATAAGGTTTTCATGAATTTGTTATCTCACATCAGATTAAATAATAGTCTTTACATGAATCACATTTTCTCATGGCTACGACAATACGGTTTGCACAAAGTTTACCTTGAGTGAAACAAACATCGAATATTGTATTGAAGCTTGTTTGCATGGACATGACAAACCTGTTGTATATTTTTCGTAGAATTGGGTGACATCGGCCGATGACGTTAGCTTCATAGTTGCAATGTGTTGATTTTCGACGAAAAATAAATAAATGGTCAAACATATAGTGGCACTCACTAATAAAACAACATAGACGCGTGTTGATAGACGTTCACGTTGCACAATATGTACATGTGGCGATTGAGAATCAAATAAGTTGATCGCCCGTAAGTAACGCTTCGCATTAAAAACTATGCTTGGTCTGATACTGGTCCCCACTATTGATGAGTTGGCTATATAAATCGAAACGATGATGTGACGAATATGCGAAATTTAAAACGTAGAAACTACAAAACAAGTACTGAGATACTTACTTGAAGTTGATACAGTGATAGTCCGTCGACGGTGGACATAGAACTTGATGAGCCATGAACAGACGATTTGAAAAGATACTGACAAACCACCCAAAACAGCTGCTAATATAGTTACGACGTAAATCAAATCCAGTCTCTGAGTATATGTGAATACACATTTCAGAGGTTTGCAAGATCTATAATATGCTTCGTAGCTGATCGTTTGTCTCCATTCCTCAACCATGATTTCATCAATTATATTACCAAGAGTACTTTTTGGAGAAAACCGAATCAATCGGCTTGTATTCAATGGATCAAATGATATGTCCACTGGGAAAGGTGTCAAATTGGAACTAATAATCTCAATACAGGTCTCATTGAACCAACATTCGAGTGTTGATTTCCGAAGTCCATCTAAAGGATAGCATGCACTGTACATGCCTGGAATCTCAGTGATTAAGGTGAATTTGGAACCATTACTACTTCTATTGAAGAATCCCAATAGTTGACTGCACATATTAAGTGCACATGAGCAAGTCGGTAACATATCATCAATCGATGACATTGTTCCAAGATGTGTTTGTACTCTTATCAGATTTTGATTACTGTCAAAGATTCCATCCAAGAAAAAGTTCGAAACTCGACTGCTGAGAAGTTGACTTCCTCGGGTGGTCTCATGTGCAAGGACGGACATATGTTTGAATGTTTGCTTTACATTTGATAGGAAATTATTTATAAGCACTTGTGTCTGCTCATTAAAGTCTTGACGAGACAGTGTTTCAGTAGTAATCAAATAAGTATCGAGTAGAGTGGCCAATGCATCATTGATCGTACTATTGGAAAGAATACAATACGAGATAATCGCTCGAAACATGTCCAAACCGTATAAACGAATGTCTAAATGGTAGTACGCAGATCTGATGTGGTCTATATAGCTTAGCCGATCAAGTGAATCCTCGGAAAGAAGCTCACTTGAACAGATTTGATGTAGTGTATATGTAACCGATATAAACGCTGAGTTTTGAATTGCGATTTCTGAACACGGACATGATAGAGTTTGTCTTTCAGTCTGAGCAATCTTTTCAAATTCTGCCACCGGTGGTAATACTACCGTATTTATTACTGTTCGCTCACTGAGTCCAGTCGCTAAAATCAAAATCAATAAAGAAGTAAACAAACAGCCGATGTAAAGTCGCGTAGTGAGAATTTGCTCCTGAATAGCAGAAGCATCGCTGTTCCGACGATCGAAAAGATTGAGATTGTGTAAAGCATTTCGAATACGATTGAACAACGAACAAATCCATTCATAAAATATTACACGAGGCCCTATAACAGAAGAATAAAGTGAAATAATATTGTTACATTATTTGAGTCGCCCTTGAGGGTGTGGGTGTGAAGGTAATCAAGCAATATAAAACTCGCTCCTACCTTTTATCACGAACATCGAGGTCATGGATGACCTTTTGTATCTATTTTCTAACGTTCACAAAATGTAAGGCTACGTCAGCATAATCTGTAATATAATGTATTCTAAACTTAATTCATCCAATGAGAGACTATATCATTGATATCATTTTTTAAATATTATAAGCAAGCAAATATCGTCTTTCACTGTTCCTGAATATCTTAAATCATTACTTTTACTTACCAAGTCGCGGAGATTCAGCAACAGGAGGTTCAAGTCTGCGTACATATCTATCTCGTATTCGATAAAAACTTGTCATTAGTACTTCACAAAGAAAACGAAGTATAACGATGAGCCCACCACAAAGACCCGAAAGTGTTGTGACAATGTAGAGAATGCTGAATCTTACTGTGTAGGAATAAGAGCACGATAGCGGACGGCATGCTGCAAAGTAACTGTGATAGTCCATCTCAGTCAACCACTCGTCTATCATAAGATTATCGATCAACGTATCAATAGGAGTAGTTGGAATAAAATTCTTCGAGTCATTCATATTGAGAATATTGAATAAAGTGTTGGAAGAAGGTAAATGAGCCATCAGGTTATTTAGGCAAATCTGATTGCTGTAGCATTCAAGTGTTGATAGAAGTAGGGAATGCAACGGCAAGCACCCCGATAAGAAACCATTCACATGTGCAAGATAACCGATATTATAATGCTCTAGCCCGTATGAATCGTTAAGAGCTAGTTCATGTGAATTATGTATATCGTTCGTTGCTATGCCTAACATCGAGATGCATGAATAAGTTGCGTCGCAACTGCACTCCATATACGTCGCAATAAAAGACATTACAGAGACTCTGCGGTGTATAACCATCTGCATTTCTAACTTGAATGTCGAACTAATGAAAGGTATAGCAGCGGTTTCCAATGCAGTTAACATACTATTCCGATCGATCAACATCGCAAAGAAAGCTCGTTGTCGACGCTGGACACTACGAATTCTTAAGATGAATTCGCTTGTAAGTGATTCAACTTGAACACGAAATGATTTCGAATTTAAAACACTGCCACGGCTATCAACCAGTGTCACAGACGCGAGATTTACTTTTAATGCATTCATAATGGCTTGCTTGGAGGAGACGCATAGAGTGCGTAGAAGTTGAAATTGAGAATTACCCACTGACCGAATATCGAATGTAGGATAAGAGCTGGCCTTATCATTATAGAGAAAAGAAAGCCATGCATCCGATACAAAATCACTTGAACACACTTCATGAAAGATGTACGTTAGATTTGCAAAAACCGAAAAGGGCACAGAAATTTCAGTACATGGACATGATAATGTATCCGAATAAGTAGCGCTAAGACGTTCGTAAACGTCGAAAGATGGTTTAACCACCAACTCAGCATGGAAAATAGTTTTCTGAGATGCATACACCATGAGAACAACAATACTTGTTGTCAACAGGATAATATAAATACGCGTAGTAACAATTTCACGGTGCACTGTTCTTGCATCAGTTGAATAAGTATTGAATAGATTGAGTTGACTCAAAAATCGGATAAGAGCCGCTACGACCATTTCAACAATTCAGAAATTTAGAGTGTACTAATATTAATAAAGCAATGCTATTCTATATCTAAAAGAAATATTGGGCGATGGAGGCATTCTGTTAGTGCAGCTAGTGGTCCCTTAACAATGGCGTGGGCGCCCAGAATTGACCCTCACTCAGTTCATTGGAGAACTGAGACAATGATAATAGATCGAGCATACAGGAAGAATATTCTAGAGACAAAAGAAACACAATAGAACTGTGCCTAGCAACCTCTTAGGTATCAACCACATTTTTCAGAAATTATCCGTAGAACTGTGGTATCACACCCCATAATAGAAGTTCACCCAAAAACACACTATTCGGAAAGCGTAATAGAAGATCATGTCTTTTTATTTTGAGTAGAGCCGCGGTGGTCAATTTTTATTTACTTAAATGTGTGATTTCCATATTCATTTCTTTGATGGATATTGACTGTTAACTCTATCAGTTATTTCGATTATTCAAGTGAGAGATAATCAACCACTTCATTGCTAGAAAAACCCCAAGGGTGTAAGAAGACATTGAATTCGAGAAAAAAGATCGTGCTCATCTGTCCTTATTCTCCTTTTGAGAAATCAATTAACAAATAAAAAGAAACTGCAATCAGCATTTTGAAGATAATTTGAGTTTATCATACTGTTAACTGTTTCGTTGCTATTTTTACAGTTTTTCTGAAGTTTATATGTTTGCAGTAAAACATAAAGTGGAGAATTGGGTATGTCCTCTCCTCGTTCAGAACTATGATTAGTTCATTATCGACAATTACGACATCGATATGCTTATCCTCTTGAATAGTTATCTTACATTTTTTGCTTATTTTCCTGTTTATACGTATATATGTGTGTATATGTCTCCTCTTCTCTCTGTTTTACTTGAATGAGTATATAGAAAAACTACTCTGTATGTAAACGGTGAGATTATTGCCACGAAGAAGTTAAATAAAGAGAAATATCACTAACACAAGCCACTCTTCTATTGAAAATCGTCGCGCTGAATAACTTTTAACTATATCCCGATTGTTGTGTTCTTTCAGATGCTCATTATGAAAAATTTCATTATAAAAATCCTCTTAGATTTGAAAACTCTTAGCAAAATTTCATTTGAAATTCTCATGAATACTGTACTCGAGATAGAAAGCAAACAGAGATCTTCAATAATCGATCATATATTTGGTAAGTAGTCAAACTATACCAATCTCTATCAAAACAAAGTAGCTATTTAAATCATTTTTTCGAGCACTTCTCTCTTCACACTCACACCGTCAAGCTATAAGTCATTTTTTCACACTTATAAAATTTATTAAACAAACTTCAGAAAGTATACTATAAAAATATGTAATATAAGATTCGTTGCATATTGAGTTCTGCTTTCAAACAATGGCTAAAAAAAACATTAAAAAACAGACCTTTCCCATTTTTTACATTAATTTGCATAAAATGCTTGGTCAACTGCGATAGCATGAATCTTTTATGAAATGCATGATATCACCATTCTGAAAATTTCTAATTTATTTATCTCGTAGTTTAAAATAGCACAAAAGGAAGCAACTGTTAACAAAATTCTTTAGTTGACATAGACCATCTGTTCATCTACGTTCACATTTTTCCCCTGTACAACGTTCTATCGTTTGCTAAGAACATACAAATGTTTTGTGAAACACCACTTACCTGCACTATTTTCAAGGTTACTTCGAGAATAGGCTTAATTACATGCAATAGCATAAATCAGTGGTAAATATTGTAGCTTTAGCACTCTGAAACTCTCAAATTCATTCATTTATTAGTTTAAAGTCAAAATAATTACAGGTACTGTTGACAACATTTCCTAGGCGATGCAGACCATCTGTCCTTCTACAATCATATTTTCTCTCTCCGAAACTCTCTCTTATTTGCTTACAACACCCAAATGTTTTCCGTAACAAAATTTTTGATTGACGTCATTAGTTCCAAAATTAAACTTTTTGTCTAAAATGTTTTTTTATTAAGTTGGGGTGTGTGTGTATGGAGAGTATGGTGGTCTAGTGGAAACCGACACTAACACCTAGGCCCACACCCACACCCTCAAGATTGGCAAGCTTTATCTCTAATAGTTATATCTATGGTCAATTATTTATTTCAAAATAAAAATTACTTGATTGCACAGTTGTCATAGATTTGTGTTTTTTGGTGAAGGAATGACAAAATTTACGACCAAGAGTAAAATTATTGTAGAAACACTATCAAAAGAATAAAATATTAGATACAGACATATTGTTTTTGGAGGAATACTCACCACATAATTAGTTGTTATACATATTATATTCTTCATGAAAATCAAATTCACAAAAGAATCAATGAATTGCTGTTGGTAACTACTTTTAATATATCTAGTATTTTCACAGAAACGACAAAACATAAGTACTATTATTTTTTACCACTAAAGTAAATGCATTATTCTTATCTTTACATAATAAAATTAAGAGACTCGAACAACAATGTAAATTAATACTCTACTTTTATTTGACAACTCAATGAATGCCCTGCTTTTTATATCATGCTTTTCTACAGATACCTTTTAGATTTTATTGCCTTTTTATGGGTTGTATAAGCATTCACTATTTTATAACAAACACATGTGATTATCGACTTATTGGAAATAGATCTACTAGTTCCGATTATTTTTGATTTTTTTAAAATCATTCTAATTTCAATTCCTGTCAACGATTCTCTTCGTAATAGAAGATCTTGAAAATAAGTGTTGCCTTAAATAAATTTTTAATACTAGTTAATATTTTAAACTCAAAATATATGTAATTTGAAAACCAAATGGAAGTCAAAATGTTTTACATATCTATTTTTGAGGGTATGGATATGGGTGCAGGTGGTTTTTGTTGAGACTACATGCGTCATTTTCTCGCCCAAGACTAACATACAGGCACACCCACACCCTCAAGATAAGAAGTTGAAATACTCTAAACTGGGTGAAAGAGCTCTCGGCCATCTAATTTCGAGAATAACCAATCATACAATCTAGTAAATTGACTAAACACTACATTTTACAGATTGTGACAAGCAGCAAAAAGTCGGCTTATAACTAAAAACAAACTCCAAATTCGTCCATGCGAAGCAAATAGCATGACACACCCGTACTCTCAATCACTTTAAAAATCGATAGAACTTAACTTGTTATTTACATTCATTGGGTCGAAAACGCTTCTTTCGATGGTAGATATTCCTTTCAGATTGAGTATTTTCCAATTGAACTTAGTTATGAAAATAGACGCACATATGGTCTGTTCAACGACAATTCAATTTAAAACATTAATTACTATACGAGGGACGCCATCAGAAAAACAAACTGTAAAGGAATTGAGCCTACTCTAGCTACCGACTTTTTACACCACTCGAGTTTATACATTTGTACTTGTTGCATCCTAATTTAATATATAGAAAGAAAGAGTCGAACTTGCAAATTGTCGTTTTATTCAAAATACACCAAAATAGTTTTATTGGAAGTTATATTTTTATAGTTAAAAAATTGATTTAAAAAAAATTAACACGGATTCATGTAATTAACTTATTGGTTCGAACGTTTCGAGAATAGGGATAGCAAACCGGTCAGATAAAAATAATTCATATAGCTTAGTACTCGAGCACCATTAAAAACTGAATATTGACAATAAGTACTTCGTTGATTAGGATAATAAAACTGAGCTTTGCCTTGACTTTTAAATATCCAGACAGTGCCCTAAATGAGAAAGATTCCAGTAAGTTTTATTATTTTTCTTTATTTCTAAAAAATATTAATTTACTGTTATGCACCAGCCAAACATTAATAAAGCCAATAGAATGCTTAAATAAAACAAAAAAGATAATTTCTTCACAGTCACCTATAAAAAGAAGCGAATGTTATGAAATTAACAGATTATCGATAAATCTCACCGCTAGAATCACAGTTGATATTAGAGTTAACGTAGCAACACCCATGACAAGAAGATATACTGGAATAAGAGGATTGACGGGACATTCATTCTTACACAAACTACCAATAATAATTTGTAATAATGGTATCCCGAGAAGAATAAGTAATGCTAACAGAACAAAGGGGCATGCATAGAATATTGTTCGTGCATTGCAAACAATTGCTTCGGTGTTTTGAAGATTTGTTTTTGTTTTGGTCGATGGAGATTCCGAAAGAGTATCGTATGGTTGAGTACTAGGTGTTACTTTCGCTTCACAGTCGTTTTCCATTATAGTTCACAAAGAAAAGACAATATATTCACGCAGAGAATAAGAAATTTTTATATTGTTTCAAATCTGACACAACAAAAAGACTGTTTTCGACTCCTATTTATTATCTTCAAGTCGATGATGTTTGTTGATTCACATTTTTTCTTTAACAAAACACACATGTGATCACTATCACTTCTTGCGTCAATCACTCCGCATGTCACTATAAACACAAGAAGAGATTGCAGAGCAAAGATGAGTATTGGGCTTGTACCTCGGTTCTTATTCATCATAACTCATACAAACTTATTTTCCTTAGGTTCTGCATTGTAGAACAATTTGAGGGTGGACGTGTGTGTCAATGTTCATATTCTAGGTACCCGTACTCAACATCGAATCTTTAAATTACTTTATAGATGTAATATTCTCAAATATTTTCGAATTGTTCATCAATGTATATGATGCCATATATTTGTTCTATCTGATTTTAATATGTATTTATTCTATATATAGTGATAAAGTATAGGGTGTGGGTGTACATTTGTTTTGGTTGCTATTATTAGAAAAGGTTTTCAGCGCAGCCCCATTGGGCTAAAATGTGGAACTCGCACATTATGGATCACTTAGATAGATGCCGACTCATTAGAAGATTTTTTTTAAATAGAATGAGTTTCATAAACATTATAGGAATGAGGTAAAAAATAAAAATTATAATACAGTTAACAAATACAATCTACTTAGGTCTGACCAAAAATTCTGCAATCGTTATTGACAATTTTATAAACCAGTTAACATTCAAGAGATTGTTGCATGGAGAAATAGTGAAATGTCTTATCTATAATGATATATATATAGTAAATCTATTTTGGACTTGGTTATAGTACGTTTTCAGATAAATTTTCATTTGAATCAAAATGTTTTTTAATGGATAATGAACTCAATCGATATTATATAGCAATTCGGACTATTTTGGAAATAGATCCAAAGATAGTTCATGAGGAACTTGTAACAGCTTTGGGGCCCAGTGCTCCATAATATTCAACAGTTACAAGATTGGCAAAACGATTTCGTGAAGGAAGAGAAGATGTCAATGATGATCCTCGATCTGCACTCTATGTAAAAAATGTGTCGGATGTGTCGTAAACTACGACACAAAGCACGACACATTCGAGTACGACATGAGGTGCTCGTTGCAACACATTCTGCTCAGCAAGACCACGACGCATTTTTCGCAACACATCCGACACATTTTTATTGGTGGTTTTTGAAACGCATATTTCGATATATTTTTTAATTTAATTACATATATCTCTTTATTTTTTAAAAATTCAATCTAATCAGATCCTAAGATCTGGCTGATTTGGAATTGGTCCGATTCCTATCAGACTATCCAGTGTAGTCCTTCCCGGATCATGGATCCGGGTGGCAATTCCTTGATTATAAAGTAATCAAGAATTGATTTCAAAGAAAATTTTATTTCGAGAACTTATCTTCCATGCGTTCAACAATGTTGCGTATATATCGCTGTATGTTCATAACAAAACGGTGAACGACTAGCCGACTGGCAGAACGCGAAAAATATACGACACATTTTTATTTAGTGTGTATACTCATTGCTAGCTTCTTTAACGGTAGCATACACTCGCTGCTAACGTCTATAATAGTAAAAATATACCAAACAGTCGTAACTATGGACTATAATGATAAAAACGACAGATTTTGAAGATTAATTAGAAATTCAGCTATAATTATAATAATTTCTAATTAGTGAAATTAGATTTTAAGTACTGATATGAGCAGTGATGAACATAGGCAATCGACTTGTATCAAAATTTTATCTAATTAGTGCACTGAAGTGTCACTTTTTCATTTTTTATGTCTGTAATGGGGACGGGCGATGTGGAGCACAGAAGAGCCGCAAAAACCTTCATTTCAACTTGCATTCACTATTTTCTTCGAAAATATGTGTGGGTTCCGCAAAAATCAGATATGCTCCCACAAGGATATCATGCAATCCAGGATTTTCATTATCACTTATATTTTCTCTGGTAACAACTCTAGCCATGTTATTGAAATCAAAATGAATTTCCTGGAAAAAAATGAAAGAAATATCTAGTCACTCGGTATATCGGAATCTATTAAATGATCTTTTTTCATAAAAAAATAAAATATTGTCTTCTCTCTGTTTTCGCGTTAAAATCAAATAGTAGATGTGATAGTATGATATATCAAATGTTGAGTGCTCCTCTCACTACGAGCCGACTAGAATCGAATCGCAGTTTTTTCATTCGTTTCAATTCTTGAGTACATTGTTCGATGCCCAATATATCTTTTCATTTTTTTTGTCTACCATTCCGATATCTCCTATTTGCATGTTCATGGGCATAAATGTTGTTCGTTCGCCAGTCGCTTTTATTATCTCGACGTCAAGTCGTTTAAGTTCAAGTTGAGCTGACAGTGGTACTTCCTGCAATAATCTGGCCGCTTCGACATGCTGCTGAGCCGCGTAGAAATCGGCATCAGCCTTTGTTCGTGTCACGAACGCTGATGCTTCAGCTTGGATTTGTGCCTGTTGTTTGGCCCGATTAGCTTCCTGCATGGCAATTTCAGTTTGGGAACACATATTGGCTAGACTCGTTGCTGTTTCAACGCGAGCTTGTGCACGTTTACGAAGTAGCTCTTTGACACTGCTATCGAATTCAAGCTTTTCAATGTTCAAATCTTGTAGTTCAATGCCCCATTGGTTGACTTTATGGGAGAATTCATGAAGAAAAGCATCACGAATATGCTGATTGAAGTTTTCATTGTCTTCAGTAGACTTTAGATTAATCAGGTTCGCACCGGCTGACTTTTTTGGAACAGGCGGGGCAATTTCATCGATGGCTGCATTCAAAAAGAGCGATGTGAGCATGGCTTCGGCCGCTCGTTTCACTGCTCCGTGAATATCTTGCACCGTCATGAATGCTATTCGTGGATCATGAATTCGATAGGTAATCAGGCCTTTGGCAGTGATTGTAATACCATCTCGAGTGTTGACCTTTAGTTCATCAAGTTCTCTTACTTGGAGTTGTACAGATTGAAAGCCATTATCTTTATCAAATAGAAATGTAGGCGAATTGGTTTCGAATGGACCTGATTCGGTGTCTTCGGGTCGAATGATAATCTGTTTCCCAATATCGAATGCAACGGCTACAAAGCCGACGGGCACGGTTATCCGTCGATACGTTCCCAGTTCAATGTACTGAGCATTTGCTTGAGTACTCTTTACGAAAATATGCGGCGCTGTTAAAATATATCGACCTGGATCAAGTAGGATGGTCTCTCCATTTCGAAGACTCAAACCAAGCTCGTCCTGATTGATTATTACAATTTGAATGTTGCCTAATGTTATCAATTTATCACTGATGTTAACCAGTCCGAGAAAATGGTTAAACGGCGACAAGAATGTATATCGACCAGGTGCAAGAAATTTCGGAGTAAGATTCATCATGCATAAGCCAAGTTCACCTTGTCGAATCAAATGAAGTCCGATGCCGGCCGGACATTGCGGATATTCGAGTACGTGCCGTTGATCAAGTTCATCGTATAAGGATCGATCCAGACGAAGGCGAATACTATCGTCGCTAGCTGCATGTTGAATATGTTGGCTAAATGTTTTCTTGTAATCGGACACTAATTTCCCATTGATATCTTCAGAGTTCATCTTCATGTAAAAGGTGAAGGTTGTTGCTGATGTGACGCTGCTGTCTCTAATAAACTATAGATTCTGCATAAACATGTGCACTGATGTAGACATATAAAACTTTGAAGTTGGAAGATGGGAGCAAAAGCGACCCGTGAGAATCACTCATAATACGTCATGCTTAAAGTAAACGACGAATAATGATGAATAGAAAAGAAAAGTTTTTTGGATCATCATGACGTCAGAGATGAAGAAATGTTACTCAGTATGTCGCAAATAATTTCTGTTGCAATATTTCAGAAGAAAAAAAAGATTTTTGATTGTAGTGAGCACTTGAAATGCATCAATAGATGATTGTTTCTACATATTCTTCGTGTGAGTGTAGTTGTGGACATGGCCTTTCAGAACACGTGCAGTCACACCCACATCCTCAAGATTATTAATACAAAGAGGAATATCGTTGATTGAATATTCCAATTAGCAAGCGGAACTATTACTGCTCTTGAGCAGCTAGTGTTTAGTAATGTCTAGAAAAAGAGATAATAAAAGAAATATTGTCATACCAAATGGTTCGGGTGAAGATGAAATCGGCTCATCTGAGTCTGAAGATGAAACGAGTAAAGTTGCACACGCTTTACGAGATGAATTAAATATGAGTGAACAATCTTCAATAAGTGAATGTGAAGAAAGTAATAGCCATGAAAGTGACAGTCAAGAAAGTGAAAATGAAGAAAAATTTAAGAATAATGGTCAAAACCCGAAAAAGAAAAAAAGAATCCATTGGGCAAAAAATCATTTTGTAATTTCAGCAGCTGATTTTGCTGACAATTTGCCACCACCACCTATCAATGATGAGCTAGAACCTATTGATTATTTCTATTTTATGTTCCGCAAGCAATCGATGACACTATTGACAAATCAATCAAATTTATATTCTGTTCAAAAAGATCCCAACAAACCGGTATGTATTTCTGAAACAGAAATGGCACTTTTCATTGGTATACTGATGATGACTGGAATATATTGTTTTCCAGAACAACTTTTCTTTTGGTCTAATACTACACGTGTCGAGATCGATTTTTAGAAATAAAAAAGTATTTGCATGTTGCTGACAACTCAGTTCAACCAAATAGAGCAGATGCAAATTTCGATCGAGCTCATAAAGTTCGTCCGTTTTTGAACATTATAAAAGAGAATTTTAGAACGATTCCAAAGGAGGAAAAATTAAGTGTTGACTAATAAATAATACCATTTACAGGTAAAAGTATAATGAAGCAACATATGCCGAATAAATCGAATCGGTGGGGCTACAAAATGTTTCTTTTAGCTGGTGGTCGAAGTGGCATATGTTATGACTTCATTTTTTTTTATACAGGTAAAGGTGAAAAACAGGAGCATGGATTTTGTACTAATATTGTATTGAATGTTTGTGAAACTGTACTACGTTTTGCTAATCATAAAATATATTTTGACAATTGTTTTACAGCAATTCGATTGCAGTAAAGTTTTAAAAGTTAGGCATTTATTCAGTTGATACTTTAAGACCAAATTGATTACCAGATTTAACCATAAAAAAATGTACAAGATTTATCAAGAGAAGGCAGAGGAGCGATGGATCATCGTGTCACCGAGGTTGAAGATGTTGAGCTATGTGTGACACAATGGTATGATAATAATGCTGTCAATTGTCTTTCAACACTGCATGGTTATCAACCGATTGACTCGGAGCAACGATAATCGTCAAAAGGAAAAAAAACAAATTCTCATAAAACAGCCTAATGTAATTAAAGCTTATAATGAACACATGGGAGGAGTTGATTCAATCGATGTGTTGGTTTCGTTGTATTGAATAAATGTTCGTTCAAAAAAAATTTATATAAAGATCATCTTTCATTTTATTGACCGTTCAGTAGTCAAAGCGTGGCTGTTGTACAGACGCCACTGTTTGCAATTACAGGCTCCAAAAAAGAGTATAATATCTTTATTGGTTTTTCGTATAGATATTGCTACAGTTTTGCTCAAAATGAGTCCTCCACTACCACCTCCCATAAAACGTGGTCGGTCATCATTACAATTACTACAAGTAAAATCAAATGAAAAGAATTCAACAATAACTGCACGCACTGCATCAAGTCCTGCTCCATCTTCAAGCGTTCGATTTGATAAGTTTGATCACTGGCCTACCCCAACATCGAAAGGTCGTTGTCGAATTCGTGGTTGTACTGGATACACAAGAATATCCTGTTCAAAATGTGAACTACGTCTATGCTTGAATAATAAAAATAACTGTTACACAGATTATCATAGTTAATTCGTTTTTTTTCTACAAATGTGACTGCTCATCTTTGTTGTACTGTTTTATCATTTGTTTGTTTCGTTTTTCTGCATAATTGAACCTGTTATTTCTTATCGAGACTTTATAAATAAATGAAAAAGCACTAAGTAGTGCATTATGATCATTGAAAACAAAAAAGAAAAATTTTAAAAATTTTGACCCTTTTCGGTCGTCTGTTGCTAAATGACAGCATGGCGCCACCGGACACTGAAATTTTATTTCATATGTAACATATCCACGCGTCCATCCCCTTTGACATCAAATGATACTGTTCCTTCTACGCGACTAAGTGCTTTTAATTGATACTTTAATTCAACATGCGCGGCAGCAATTGGATTATCACTTGTGCCCACATTACGGACAGATGTTATTTCAACGTTTGCATTGAATACATAACACCAGGCAACAGTCGTACATGATGGAGTTACAGTAATACCATCCAAATATGCTCCTCGTCCATTTAACGAGCCACCGTAAAGAAATTCGAGATCAAATTCAAATCGAAGAATACGTACACCTAAACGACTGCAAATCGTTAGAGTAGACGAACGAGAAACAGGCAAAGACGACCAACATTGAAGCTCTAACGGACTTGTGATATTAGCAGGTAAAACATTTCCATGTATAGTGTGAACATCGGTCGTCGCCGCACTAAACCACATCAAAGAAAAAAGTTTTCCTCCAACTACTTTTTTAATATTTTTTCTTACTTTTTAGAGATAATAGACCATACACTTTTAGCTTTATTAAATAGTATTGAACCATCATTGACAACTGTGTCGATAGGAGTAGCAGTCAGAGTATTACTACCAGGAGCAACAATTGGAGTATTTCCATCAGAAACAGACATTAGAGTATTTCTATCAGGAGCAACAACTCGAGTATTCCCATCAGCAGCAGACGTTAGAGTATTTCTATCAGAAGCTGGTATTGCATTAGCCTAATATGAGAAATTGAGAATTCAGACAGAAATTTTTGAAATCATAGATCTAAAGCATGAGGGTGTGGATGTAGATGTAAGCATATGATAGGCAACAGAGAATGATTTTTCCTTTTTGCTAACTACCTGAGATTTCATTCCGTCTACATGTAAAAATGGGTAAACACTAAAATGAATTGCATTTTCTTCAAGTAGCTCTAATACATACGAGTAGCAGTGGTAATTGCTCTGCAGGAACATGCTTTATTTCAAAATTTGGATTGATTGTCAAGTAGAGAAACAAAATAATACCAATAATAATTAGAACAACGACAATCACAGATGGTATGATCCAATCCCAGTACGATGCAAGCATAGTTGCAGACATGTGTGTAATAACCCGAAAGGAAAATAAACAAAATGAAGTTGATTTTAGCACGAAGTGAATAGAGAGAAAATATGGTCTAATGAACACTTGTTTTTTTAGTCTAAAAGTATCGTCACAAAGTAGTTGTCAGTTGAACAGATATTTACCAAATGAAAAACAAATAATATATTGTCGTCTCATGGTTACTGTGCCACAATGATATGAAAAACGATTCAGTCATCTTTCAATTTTTATCTTCATGTTAGATATATTGTTTTGAGAAAGAAAGAAAAGGCGAAGATTTAATCTTATCAACTGACTTCGCATTAACAAACGAGACTGAAGTAAAAAGATATGACATCTCCGATGTAATAACTGATAGTATAAAAATGGTGAATCAGTCAACATCCTTCGTATGACCATCCAACTATTCATATTACAGTTTATGATTGTGTGAGGTCAGACTTAACTTTTTGCTTCCCTAGAGCACTAATTTTTCATTGAATAAACATCCGTGTTTGCCGAATTTTTTAGGCTGAAATGTTCCATTAGAGTTAGGAAAACTTTAAAATCTGCTTTCCAAATGATGCATAAACAAAGAAAATAGTGTTTGATGATCCTAAGTCGAAATTTTTGCAGCTCCTCATTTACATTATAAACTATAACAACGCAGTGCCCATTTCAATCCCAAAGGAATTGAACTAACAAATTTTTTTCATGCCAAAACCCTTACATTTTAGACCGTGAAATAGCTATACATGAAGAATATCAAATGGTGCAATCTGACACAGAAAAATTGTCACCGATAGGCGATCACTTTTTAGAATGTAATAAAAACAAGTTTGATTTTCAAACAGTATAATTCGATCAAAAATATCTTGAAAGCGAAAATGTTTTACATAGAACAGTTTGAGTCGGCAATGAATAAAAATAACTCTTGACACAGTAAATGAATTGGTATCATAGTCTTCAAATAGTATTTTTGGTTCTATATCAATGACTAATGATCGTACACAATTGCGTACACGTCCATTACGATGGAAAACGTCAACAGTAGATGATTTATCAAATGAACATACTAAAGCATTTAGGTATACAAGTATAGATGTAAGGAAATAAGTTTTATGGTATAGCTGTAATGGTGTAGGTTATAGAGTTATAGTCAGAACGGTATAAGAAGGATCATATACAAAGAAAGCGATAAACAATTAAAAGCAAAGACTATCTTTCTCGAAGAAGTGGTGCGACATGAAATGCCAAAGGTATCTAACTAAGATAAGGATACGGTCGAGAAAGACCACACCCACGCCCAATTCAAAAACAAATGTTCATTACGTTTATAGAAAGTTTCTTTAGTGATCTGTCTGATACACAACTAATTAGAACTATCGATAAATTACTTAGCGCACTCTACAACAACCAACAGAAAGATATACATTATCGTAAATAATGACAGTTCCCCGCGTATAACCAGAACGAGTTGAATACAGTTAAAGCTCCCGAAACATTAGAAGACCCAGAGTCTTCTATTCTATCTTATCGCTCATAGTTACAAGGGGGTCTTCTATTATGTCCCCTAAAAAAGTTATATTTTTCCGCAATCTCTCCAACAAATCTTCGTTTCAATTCATTTTTGCTCAATATAATCGTTAGAAAAATAGAATTTTACTTATACGACATGTGTATGATGAGAAAGCAACAAATGTTATCCTGTGAAAAAAGAGAGCCTATCATTGATAATAAATATTTTTAGAATATTAAAAGTAATGTATCCGAACACCTTGACAAAATGTTCAGTTGGATTTTTTTTCTAAAAAAATAAGATCTGCCATTGACCAAATTTTAACTTCTCAACAATTAAATAACTCAGAAAAATAATTAACTTGCTTCGTCAAACTCAATTAAATGAATTGTTCTTGTTTATTTTTGATTTATATTGATGGAATGTGTTCACATGAAAATCTACTAACAGCATATTTATAAGTCTCAAGCCAATGTCAATGAACACATTTGTATTTAGAATAAGCAATTAATAAAAAAGAAAAAAAAAGAGTAATTGGATACACATTTTGTGTTTTCTTTTTGGTCTTTCTTTTTAAAAATGGATTCAGGTTTTAGTGAGAATTGAAATGCATTCTGAGTCTCATGGGAAATATTTACAAAAGCCGACGTATATTAGAGACGAAAATCAAATCGAATTGTCAAATAATCTTATTCGATTGAATCGCCTGAGGCGAACTCAATCCGATCGAAGATATTGCCGAATCGAGATTTTCTTATTAGCGTCTGTCTTGACCGTATATAGATGAATTCACATTTGTTTCAATTATGAAAGAATGCATCATGATGAATATGTTTCGGAATTTCTAGAAATTCCAGATAATTAGACTTTAATTATTACGCAATGACGTTTCATCTAATATGCTACTATTTTACAAAGATCTCTTCATGCGTTAGATCAACGGTTGTGCCCTGAGTCCATTATAACTTAACTCAAGATCATGAGAAGTTTTTTTATATGAAGAACCGTAAAAATTCCTTTTGAATATGACTCAAAAGAGAACTAAAAATATTACTATTTAGTATCAATAGATCCCGCTTTTAACGCGCTTTCATTTGGTATAAAATTCATTATATGCTCATCCCTAGAATAATATTATTTTCTATAGGGTATCCTATCATTGAGCACGCCTTATATATAAGTTTCGATATAATTCACTGTCATCGAGCGTCCTCATTTCATTGATTCGCTATGAAGAAGGTTAATAATTATATGCAATAGCGATTTTATAATTTATTTTCAATTCTATTAGAATAATTTCTATTTATTAATATTATTAATAAATCTATTTAGTGCAGGATAAGATCATCAATAACATTCTTAATTTGATTATTATTCTCTAGATTTTATTTATGAAACCAGATTAATTGAGTATCATTCATATTTATCTTTAGTTTATCAGTTATTATTACAAATATATTATAGTTTATTATTATTAATAGATTTCTTTTTTTTCTATTCTTAGTCTTCATTATAATGTCGAAACAAATTAATCAACAACAACGATCAATGCAACCTAAGAACTCAGTGAGCAAGAATAATTTTCATCCAAAATGATCATTCGACACCAAAAATGAATTTTAATCCTGATAATATTTTTATGTAAGTGTTGCTGTTTTTTTCTCGCTAATTAATTATTTGCCATCAGATAAAGAGCTAAATCAACCAATAAATATTATCGATAATGATAATAAGCAAATAAATGATAATATTAATAAAAATCAATTATAATTAACACCAATTCAATCAAATTTTAATAACAGTCAAAAGTTGGTAAGATGGTTTTATTTATTTAAAATGACAAAATAAAATTAAAAAATTCTTCGAATAAATTCTAATGAATCGTTTTTATTTGTTGATGTCAATATTGGCAATCTAAAGATTTTTATCCTATTTAAAATTATTTAAAAATATTCGATGATTCTTTAAGAAAACAAAATACAATTGTAGATCAGCTTGTATTCTATTATTTATCATTCTATTTCTAAAAGCTTGTTGTCAGCTGGAACAATAAAGATTTTTTCTTTTCATTCATTCTTCTTATTCGGACATATAAGAAATATTATTTATTATTTTCAAACCTATAATGAATATGAGTTTTTCTCGTCCATATGTGCACTGATAAAAAGAAGCGCCGAATGATAAACGTTTAAAGCGTTTATAAAAATGCAACGTATGATATACCCTTTTCTGCCGTTTAGCAGCATGCAATAAACCCTTTTATCTACCCATCAAAAGACGAAATAAAAAAGTTTATCAAGTGAATATACTGCGGACCGAAAGGTTTATCATAGCGTTTATACAACTGAACAACTTTAAAAGGGTGTATCATACGTTGCATTTTCATAAACCCTATCGAAGGTATTAGAGCGTACTCTAACAAGTTATTTATTCTTATATATTCTTGTTTCGTCTTTATACGTTATGTATTTCTTACATGTGCAATCCAATTCAAGATGCACATACGTCAACCGCCCCTTTTCATTCTTTCATTCCGCTCTCTGCATATCTCTCTATTGTGTTTTGTGTCCTCCCGTGCGTGACGATGTTAATAATGGTATCGTTTGTTCGATTGGGATTTAAGTGCATTTATAGAATGATGTACCATCATCTTTATATACAAATTAGTCTAGTCGAAGAAACAAATGCCTGTTCTTCCTTTGTTTCTTTTCTGTTTGTCTCTCTCTCTCTCTCTTGTGTGTGTGTTGTATAGCATAAATAGGAAAAAAAAGAATAATACAGAAAAAAATAAGATTCGGATTAGGAATCGAAAATAGGAAATTTGTTGTTACTTGATTAAATAGAAACATACATTTCTATTTTGTGAATTGGTTTAAGTTACAGCGGGGTCTCTATAACACTTTCTCTCTCGGTTTTTTCAATATCTGTATACAAAAACACAAAAATGCATGTTTATTTTTCCTCATTTTTGTTGTCATTATTATCTACACTGCTACATTGTAAAAATAAAACACATGGCTAATGTAAAAATATCGATGATCGAATAAGACTACTTACCAGCCGATATCAAAATGCTTATTTTTTTAATGTGAGTCTGCACGAGATATTACTTTGTATATATAGGCGTTACATATTTTTTCTTTTTTTCTAACATAAAATGTTTACCTGAGTCAATGAAGTGTGAATCTAATTTCGCTACTTCTTATTTTCGCATATCAAAACATTGTTTCATCCCAGGTAAATATTTTTTGAACGAAAACGCGTCTAAATCGCAGTAATCAAGCGCGTATAGATGCAGCTCAGATGAAACATTTCTTGCGTATTGACGCGATTTAGCATTAATTCTCGTCCAGACGCGATTGCTAACAAGATTACGTCCGAATGCAGTTCAAACTAAAGTCGTGTCTAGACGCGTTCGAATCTATATTTGACAATTTCAAAAATTTATTACAATCAGTTTCATATTTGATCTGAGCCGCCATCAATACTGTTTAGCGAT